AGGCCTGTTTACAAGATTGGCCCCTGGCTTATATCTAGAACTCAGATTTCAGGAGGGTTACTACCATTCTCTGACAAGAGTGACTCACTGTGCCTACACTGTTTACAAAAACAACATAGTTTATGCTGAATACTTGCTTTCCTTCCACAAGTCTTGGAATTCTGGTACATACCAACGAAAGCTGTCTATGTGACCATCCTGCAATAAAAATTCTGGTCACTGAGTAATCTAGTGAGATTTCCAAGTTTTAGATAATGCTTCATAGGTGCTGTCAAAACTGATTGCTGGAGGAATTAAGCATGTTCTGTGTAGCTCCAATGCAAGAGGTTTCTTGTAAATTTGTACCTGGTTTCCTTTGGATTTCACCCAATACACCTTTCCCCTTTGCTGATTTTGCTTTGTATCTCTTTGCTATAATAAATCATATCTGTGAATACTACCATATCTTGAATCCTGTGAGCCCTCCCAGTGAAGCACTGAACCTGGGGTTGTCTTAAGGATCCTTAGCTTAGAAATGTAATGAGATTATAAGATTACCAAAATTGTTTCTAAATAGTATAATGAATAAAATTATTTCTCCTAAAATTCAAAGTCCACAGCCCAATTTATTGTTGAAAATTTTCTTTATAAAGTTTTAAAGCATTTTTAGGCTCAAAGAATCACTTTAAGATATTATCATTTAATAATAAGCATCTTTAATTACTTATAATTAGTAAAACCTAACATATAGTATTTATTAAGGGTTAAGCACTGGGCTAAATGCTTTTATATGCATCTTCTCAATCCTCACAACAGGACTATGAGGTAGAGCCTGAAATCATCTCCATTTTAGGTATGTGTATGTATGTCTGTATACACACACACACACATTTTTGTCCATGCTTCCTGGCTTATAATTTCCATACCCTTTGTTATGTCTTTAGTCATTATGTTGGAGTGCTTTAGGCTTCAGAAGCAGGCCTCAGAAAATGAGAATCTCTTTCTCCTGCCTCCTTTTATCTACTGCTTTTTCTCCCCAAGGCAGGGATCTAATCTTCCATGCCTTTCTCTGACCTACCTTGTCTGATTATAGGTCAAAAGGTCCCCAGTTGAGCATACCCCAGAAAGAATGCTGTATAGAGAAGCCAAGAAGAATTTGAACATAGAGATCTTGCTGAGTTTCCCACCTCATCTTAGTATTATTCAGTAACATTTCCACATGTTCATCCTTGCTTAAATCATGCCTATCCAACAGTCACCTTAAAAGGCCCAGGACTGGGTACAAGGAGCTTCTGGATAGCTGAATATATGGAAGTTCCTACAGGGTAGCATGGAAGCTCCTCACCCCTTCCCGTATCTTGCCTATGCATCTCTTCCTCTGTATCCTTTGTAATATCCTTTATAATAAACCACAAAAGTGTTTCCCTCAGTTCTGTGAGACATCCTAGCAAATTAATTGAACCTAAACAAGGGGGTGTGGGATTTCCAGTCTATAGCTGGTATGCGTAGAAGCACAGGTAAAACAACCTGGTGCTTGTGATTACCATTAGAAGGAGCAGCCTTGTGGGACTGAGCCCTCAACCTGCAGGATAGTAGAATTGAATCAGAAGATACCCAGCTGGTATCCGCTGAGAACTGACTACTTTGCTTATTGGTGAGGAGAAATTCCCCCACATTTGGTCATAGAAGTCTTCTATATTGATTGTTGGGATGTGAGAACAAAGGAAAAAGTTTTTGTTTTTCTGCTCATATGTCCTTATTATGTATAATATAAATCATTAAAAATCAAGTTCATTGAATATACCTTAATGAAATCCTAGTGCAATTCCAGGCACACAGCAGGCACAAACTTTCCAAGAGAATACATATGGTTATCTCAGTCTTTCCAATGGCTGCTTTATGCTATGCTTCTTTTATAAGAGTTCATCTAAATACATATGTTTAAACATCCCCTCTATTGGACGGTATACATGTTGTATGTTATTATAAGCAACCTGCAATCACTATTAATGTACACATCTTTATACACTTATTTTAGTATGTCTGTATGATGAATTTCCCTTGATGTGGAATGGCTGGGTCACCAGGCCAGATGTATTTTAAATTTTGATTAGATTATACCAGTTTTTCTCAAAACTGAGTATTCAACTTTATGCTTCAGCTAACAATGTATATGGATGCTTATTTTACTATAATACTATACCTTCATTAATACGAAACATCGTTTACGTTTTTGCAGATCTGCTAGATGAAAAATGGTTTAATCTTTTTTTTTTTTTTTTTTGAGACAGAGTCTTTGTCACCCTTGGTAGAGTGCCATGGCGTCATAGCTCACAGCAACCTCAAACTCTTGGGTTCTAGTGATTTTCTTGCCTCAGTCTCCTGAGTAGCTAGGACTACAGGTGCCCACCACAATGCCCAGCTATTTATAGAGATGGGGTCTTGCTCAGGCTGGTCTCGAACTCCTGAGCTCAGGCAATGCACCTGCCTCGGTCTCCCAAAGTGCTAAGATTACACGCACGAGTCACTGTGCCCGGACTGGTATAATCTTGTTTTAATTTATATTTCTTTGAATATTAGGGAGGTCAAGCACATTTCATGTTTCTGTCCATTTCTCCTTATACATTTCCATTCAGAACCTTTGACTGTATGTTTTTCTGGTTTGTCTTATTCTTTTGCAGAAACTTTTCATATATGGATATGAATCTCTCATCTTTTATAGTGGTTGTAAAATTTTCTCCTTCACTGCCATTTATTTTTTAAGTTTAATTATGGTGTCTTTGCCACAGTTTTGCAATTTTTAAGTAGTCTAATATAAAACATTTTCTGCTATGGCTTCTGCCTTTTGTGTCATGTTTAGAAAGGCCTCTTCTACTTAAAGAGCTAAAAAAATTCTCCTACTCCGCCCCCTCCCCAGGATGGGTGGAGGGAGGGTAATTGGTGGGAACCCATCTACCGTGCATTTTACAAGGGTACATGTTAAATTTCTAAGTGTAGAGCATAAATGTCTTAACTAAGAAAACGTGGTCAAGAACCAGTTTGACGAAAATATTTCAAATGGTATATAAAACTAGCACATTGTACCCCATGATTGTATTAATGTACACAGCTATGATTTAATAAAAAAGCATTCTCCTTATCTTTTTTAGTTTTTATAGTTTTATCTTCCTTATATTTATATCTTCAAATTAAGGCATTTTGTGAATAATGTAATACAGGAATCTAAATTTTTTAAGTTAGATGAGGTTATAGATTTGTGAAAAAAGGACCAATGCACATAGCAGTCGTAAATTCTTGAGTTAACTTAGTCATGAAGAGAAATAACAGAAACAGTCTGAAATGTCACATTTTCATACACTAAATATACACAAATGTACATATACAGTATGTTTTTGGACTCTATTTAGCTTCATTAATCTATTACTCTTTGTTTATTCTTGAGCTAGTACAACACAGTTTACTTTAATAGTATATGTTTGGAAAAAATTCACACCAGAAGGTAAGGTTCATGAGGGTAAACCCATACCATCCTTGGTAGCTGCCTTCTTATATCTCTGGTTCACTACTATATCCCTAAGTGGCTAGACTAGTGCCTAACATGTGATATAGGTACTTAACAAATATATGTTGAAAGAATAAATAAATGTACAAACCTTGTGTATGCTGAGACTCAATTTCTTGGTCTTCTGCTTTCTCCTTGTTACAATATGAAAAGCTCAGATTTCTATTTGGAATACTTTCTAAGGTAAAATAGGCTCAAAATAATTCATGCTTACCTAGCTACCACAATAAAAACATCACTAAAACATTATCATTATCACCAAATGCGTATACAGCAGTATGGTAGATGTAAGGTTCACAAAGATTGTATATAGGCCAGATTCCCTACTACTGTTCTGGTTGGGAAATAAAACTATAATATTTATGTGTACATACATACATACATACTCACACAAAATCTTAGGTGTATTTGTTTAAAATATAAACAAATGACACAAATGCTAAGAATACAGATTATAAAGTCAGACTGGGCTTCTCTGAATCAGTTTTCTTATTGCAAAGTAAACAAAATAGCAGTTCCTACCTCTTAAAATAACTGAATGTTTAGAAAAGGCAGCCATCAATGACGGTCTTAAAATGTCATATGACAGCAGAACTGAGCCTTAATAATAACCATTTGGAGAGCTCTTATTATGTACCATGAATTGTTTTGTTTTCATATATTAACTCATTTAATCACCGCAACAACTCAAAGTGATAAGAGTTTGCCCCAAAGTTAACGAGGAGCATTCTTAACTTTGAAAAGTTTCATTAGTTTTCACAAAGTCACATTGTTTAAGTCTGAAGCTGGGGTTCAAATTGGAGCCAGATAAAGGCTCCAAACACTGAACACTTACCCACGAGATGCAGTAGTCTCAGCACACTTTAACAGGGTAGAACTCAGACAAACGAGTTGAGGAAGACACAGTCACCTACCCACTGGGAACAATAAAATTGACAAATCTGCCTAAGGTAGAAGGTAAGAGAGTATAGTGGGATTACATAAATGCCCTGGGGGGGGAATAAAAAACAGCCACCTGTTACGGAAACCATTTCTAAACTTTCTCTTAAGTTCTTCTCCAATACAACATTCTCTTAGCTTTAAATTCACGAACTCTGACAGAAAAAAAATGACAAGCATTTGTCAATTAATAATGAATGCTATTACCCTGTCGCCAAAGCAAACAGGTCCGGCCTCAGCCTTGATTCTTGCCGCTTCTGTTACAGCCTCCACGGCTCCCTGTGAAGAAAATAAATAAGAGGAAGAAACCCAATGCAATCCAGTCACAGCTGATCCCGAACATCTGTAGTTCCTATCTCTGAATCCTCTTTTATCCCTCCCGCCACGTCCCCTCCCCCAGTCCCGAGACCACCGGGAACTTCCTCTGGTACAAAAAAGTCAGAAAAGGATTGCCGAGGTTACCGCGTCGCTTCCAGTCAGGTCCCAGGACCAAGACTCCGCGGGCTCCTTTACTCAGGATTTTCTACCCGGCTTTGGCACTACCAGGCCTTGGGCAAGACGCCAGGCCTTACGTCCAGTCACCAACTCCTCCCGGACCTTAGTTTCCACACCGTCTCTCCACAGAAAGGGTGTAGGGTAGGCCGATTCTCCCGTTAAGAGCTCCTACGTGCAGGTTCATTTGGTCCAGGAGCTTGGAGCCCGGGCCTTGGGGTACCCTAGGGCCCTCTCCTCCAGCCGCCACCTCAGGTCCGTTACCTCATCTCCTTTCCAGTTCCTCCACCGAAGGACGCTGCGCCCAGCCCGCACCACAGCGTTGCGGCCTTCCCACAGAGCAGCGTGCGTCGCAACGCGGGAAGGGGCCTGGGGGCGGGACCACGAGCCTCGGAGCCAAGGGGCGGGGCGTCCTTTACCGGGAAGCCAATCAGAACGCGAGAAGCAGCCTAAGGGGCCGCGCGCACCGGGAGCGGGGTGGGGTCTGTAGTGGAGGCGCCGGCTGAGATGTGGTACGGCTACTTCGGGCTGAGGTGGCAGATGGTGTGGAGTGCCTGTGCCGGAGGCGAGGCTGGAGCCAGAAAAGGATGAGTGGTGCAGCAGGACTCGCGCGCATTGACGGTCGCGAGCGAGTTCTCAAACTAGGCGAGAGTTTTGAGAAGCAGCCGCGCTGCGCTTTCCACACCGTGCGCTGTGAGTGAGGACTGCCTGGAGAATAAAGGGTTGGGGGGTCTCCGGGAATAGGGGTGTGGGGGCACAGACTCCTCTGAGTTGTCACCACAGTCCGCCTCACTCTGCTGGAGGTTGAAGGGGGGAGCGCGATCCACTCCCCTGCCTGGAGAACTGGGGTGTTGATGGAAGGAGTCTGAGTGGAGCAGGTGTGGGTAAACCCTGGGCAGAGGGCGGGAAGTGAGACCCGCAGACCGAAAGGGAAACTTAGTGGAGAAGAGATATCTGCAGGTGTAACTGTGGAGACGTGACAGGTGGACAATGCAAAATGGAAAGGAAAATAATGAGGTGACAAATGGAAGGGACAAACCCCTTGAGGCTGGTGAGGCAATATTCTCTGTTTACTTTGGACCCCAGATTTCAGTCAATTGTCAAATACAGATTATTTGTATTTAAAGTATTGGCGGGTGTGTTATTAAATTCTTTATTTAGAAAATATTTACCTTCCTATGATGTCTACTCCTTGGTTTTCCTTATGTTCTCTGGAACTTGTTTTAATAAATCATTATCTTTCATGTCGAGGTAGAAAAGGGAACTCTTTTGCTTTAGTAATTGGATGATGTAGGTTCCAAAAAGGAAAATATAGCATACAGGATTTCATATGCAAAACATTCATTCTTTGCATAATAGCCCTCCTAGATTCTAAAGCAGGAAGGAAACTTTAAGTCATTGAATCGTAACCTCTCATTTTTCTGTGGCAAAATTGTAAAGTAGATATTTTTTTACTTCCTTTCCACAGCCTTGTCCTTCCTTAGTACCTCATCGTTCTGCCTTTCTCATTCTGATCTCCAGCTGTTTAGTAATGTTTATAATTTTTACTCTGAAATGTTTTATGGTTCGATCAAAACACCCCATTAAAGCATGCATTTTGATGTGGTGGTTTCATCAACCTTCTTTTTCAAATAGTGCCACTTCTAATCCTTTCCTCTTCTTTGTCAGGTATGCAGTAGTCTTAGTATTAGTTTTTCAAGTTACAAGTTTTAAGATTATAAAAATTTTCTCAAGACTATATTTTTATATAATTTGGGTGTGTATTCTCTTTTTAAGGGCACAAACCCCAAATTAAGTGAATAAAAAATAGCCTTTGAAAATCATCTTGCAAGTGCTTTCAAAGGCTTTCATTTTGCATCTTAAAATGCTGGAATTTCATTTTAAAAATCCAAGAATCAAATAATCCAGCTACAGGGATGAAAATAAATAAAAATAGAAAGAATAACACCCTCCAAATACAAATAATCTGTATTTGACAAATGACTGAAATCTGGGGTCCAAAGAAATACAGATTATTTGGATAGTTAAGAATTTCTCCCAAGAACTCACTAAATAACCATCAGCGAAAGGTGAGAAAAATAAATCCAGATGCTTGAATGTGCTTTTAATCCTGTGGAAGACATTAGAAAGGTTTTCAGCCATTACTTTTCTTTTGTTTAAGCAGGCATAGTAATGGCATAGAATTATTTTAAATTTATTTAAATAAAATAAGTCATTATCCTTGAAAACAGTTTCATTTTCAATAGTGTGACTCTAATGTTGATACAGAGCAGATGGACCTAATTGATAACAGACATGCAAGCCAGTGGAATCTAGGAGAAAGTAATAATCTATCTTTACGTGTAGGGGCAATTATGCCTGTCTGGTATCTTAAGGCTTACAACAAGCATGAATGTGAATCCTTCTCTCCACCACCTACAAATGTAAAGTGACTTTGGGACATTCTCTAAGCTCTTAGCCTCAGTTTCCTTACATGCAAAATAATAATAATAGCATCTATATTTCACGTTTTTGTTAGGATTAAATAAAATACCATAAATGACTTAGCACAGTATTTAACATAAAGTAGACAATAAATAATAGTACTTTATTTTTGAAGAATTATATTCATATGTGCATGAGATATGCCAATCATAACTTACTTAGACTTTGAAAAGGCATTTATCAAGGCTTGGCAATAAAACTTATCAAAAAGAAAGTCTGGCAAGTGGTGGGAAGGGGATGGGATGTTCTATCAAAGATAAGCTAAATGCTTAGCAATAGATGCTTCATTGGGTAGAAGAGTTTGAATAATAGGACCCAGTAGAATCAATTTTGGATTTGAGCTAGCACTATAAATTTTGCAATTTATATCCAGGTAAGGGAAGTACATTGTGAAATCCTAAGTTTATAATGATACCACTTTTTGCTATCATGAAAAAATGAACTGATGAGCAATGACTAGAGAGAGATTATCTGGGACTTTAAGAGAACTCACTCTCCAAAAGGTAGTAAAGATATTTGCTGTGAGCAAATACCAGAAAGTACACTAAGGAATACTAAAATTAAAATTATATGTTAAAAGTACAAAAGGAAAATGGCAATGCCTATTTTAAAGGGATTAAAAGTCTTGAGAGATGAATCTGATCCACAGGAAATAATTAGAAAATAAGCATTTTATGTGTAATTTAGCACCTTATACATACATACATACTTAAAATAAGTTTGGAAGTGGTTCAAAGAAGGGCGAACTGTATGAACCCAACTCAACTACAAGATCTCTTATGTGTTTATTGCATTAGAGACACTGTGCTTAGAGCCACAGTTCTAGAGGAATTAAAGTATGAGGTTTTGTGCTTTAAAAAATTATGGTATAGGGGTGGTGCCTGTGGCTCAAAGGAGTAGGGTGCCAACCCCATATGCTGGAGGTGGAGGGTTCACTCCCAGCCCCAGCCAGAAACTGCAAAAAAAAAAAGAAAAGAAAAGAAAAGAAAATTATGGTATGGTAGGACATGTCTACAAAGAGGTAAATAATATCAGGTAGTTTATGTTAGGTTTAGATGAGTGGTATAGTAAATGCTACAGGAGTGGAGAAGAAATTGAAATTCTGGAGAGGGCTGCACCAGAAGTGGCTTCAGGAAAGAGGAGACTTTGACATAGGACTCAAATTCTAAGAGAGCAAAAGAACAGAGAAAAGCAAAACGTCAGGCTATAGCTATTCTAATTAGTTTAGCCTTTAGCTGGTCGAAAACTAATTTCTTTTTGGCAAGAATGGAAAGTGATGGCTTTGAAAGATATGAAAGAAGCTATAGTGACTAAATATGAGTGATGAAGGAGATAGAGGAATATTTAGAGGAATACTTAGATCTATAAGTAAAGCCTACCAACAAAGTCCACTACAGTGGGTACCCACATAGGAATGATGATAACCTGTTTATAGATAGTGAGATATTTTAAGGGGCAATTACTTCATTTCTACTGTTTACTAATAAAATGACTTTGGTTCTTTAGGTTCACAAGTGATATTTGCTAGCTCAAACTGAAGTTCTCTTCTCTCCCCGTTGACATTGATATATCTCTGCCAACCTTCCATTGTTTTATTCTGTGTCTTATAGTTCCTTATTCTTGCTTTAGCAAATAGTGTTGTAGTTGTGTGATCTGGGCAAGGGACTTAATTTCTTTTACCTTTGTTTCTCTTAACCTGTAAGATAGGGATATTCATTACCTTATAGGATTATTGTAAGGCTTCAGGATAAAAGTGATTAGGAAAGACTTTTTAAATTTGTTAGCACATAACTAACTATTCTTGTTACTCTTTTATATTTGTGTTTATTCTCTTAGA